GCCAAGGCATACAAGACTATGGGCCAAGTACCAGACAATGGGATTAGAATAGTTAGGTGGTTGTTTTTGACTGGTACAGAGTTGTTGCATTGAAGGACTGTTCTGTTCTGTGCTGTAGATCTTTATGACCCTATGACTCAATGGCTGAAGACACTGGATTTGACAATATCTATAGGCCCTGACAGCACCCCAACTGTAATATTAAGGGCTTGCACTGCAGAACTAGCTACACCCCTAGTCAAGCTGTTCCATGACAGATACAACATTGTCATCTACGAAACAATGTGGTAAATTGCCCAGGAACAGCCTGTCCTCAAAAGTAGGCCAAATCTAATTAGTCAATTTCGAACCCATCAGTCTACTTTCAATAATCAGTAAAATGATGGATGATATAATCAACCGTGCTAGCAAGCTGGAACTTTCTCTGCAATAACCTGCTCACTGATGCTCAGTTGGGTTCTGCCAGGGCCATCTGATGCTGACAGAACTCAAGAAGTCAGGTGAGCAGTATTTACCAGAGTGCATCATCAAGATGTCCTTGCAGAACTGAGCCTATAGGAATTGCGGAGGAAATTCTTCACCAGCTGGAATTTAGATCTAACATTAAAAGGAAGAGGGTCACCTCAGCCCCAGAATGTTGCTGCAGAATTTCCTCAGGCAGTACCCTAGACCCAAACATCACCAGCGGCTTCATGGATGACCTTCACCCCATCAGAATTGGGATGTTCACCGATGATTGCTGTGTTCAGTACTGTTTGTAACTCCTCAGACACTGAAGCAGTCTGTTCTCACAAGGAGCAAGATCATGGGGCATTCAATTTAAGCTGATAAGTAGCAGAGTGACATTCCCACTACACAATACCATTTCCAAGATGAAAATCTAATCACCTGCCCTTGATACTTTATGTCATTATAATTGTTAAATCTCATGCCATCAACCAGGAACTGAATTGGATCAGCAATTTTCATAGAGTGGCCACAAAATCAAATCAGACAATTCTATAGTAGGTAATTCATCTCCCATCTCCCCAGTGCCTGTCCATCACGTACAAGGCGCTTAGGCAAGAGTGTGATTGAATACAACCCACTTACCTGGCTAAGTGCAGTTTCAACAATGTTCAAGAAGCTTAATTACATGCAGAACAAATCACCCACTGAATTAGCAACTTATCCAAGATCTTCAATAGTCATACACTCCAACACTAGCATACAGCGACAGCAGAATATACCACCAACTAGATTCACCACACCAACTCACCAAGTCTCCTTCAACAGCACCTGCCAAACCTGCAAACTCTACCACACAGAAGGACAATGGCAACAGACACACGGAAATACAACCACCTGCAAGTTTCTCTCCAAACTACACAGCATCCTGACTTGGAACAATTTGGTCATTACTTCACTGTTGTTGGATCAAAATCCTGGAATTCATACTCCAACAGCACTGCGGGTACACCTACACTACACAGACTGCAGCTGTTCAAGAAGGCAGTTCACTACCATGTGCTCAAAGATAATTAGGGATGCGCAACAAATGTTAGTTTTTTCAGTGACAACATCCCATCAGTAAATAAAAGAAACTTGAGGCTTGTTGGGGGTGGCGGGGTTTTAAGGTGGAATCAGTAATTCACAGCACAGACAGTAGCCGCTCAGCATAGTTCACTTTTGCCGACTGAGAAAGAGCTATCCAGCCTAATCTCACTTTTCAATACCTCATTCATAGCTTTGTAGCTTACAGCACTTCAAGCGAATCACAAAGAGGTATAAAAGAGAACTCAGTTCACTTAGCTGGACCAGTATTCCAGACACCCAGGCAATATTCTGGGGACCTGGGTTTGAATCCCACCACAGTAGATTATAGAATCTGAATTCAACCCAAGTCTGGAATTAGAAGTCTAACAATAATCTCGAAACCATTGTTGAATCACAGAAAAGCCCATCTGGTCTCTGAAATGGATGACCAAACAATTCAGTTGGATCAACCACTGGAAAGTCCAAAAGAAGGCATGTAGCTGGACAGACCACCTGGCATCTACTATGGCACTGGGTATACCTACATTAAATGGTTTGCAGCGGTTCAAGGTGGCAGCTCAGCATCAACTTCTCAAGGACAATCAGGGATGGGTAATAAATGCAGGTCCAGCCAGAGACACCCACATCCCACAAATGAATTTTAGAAAGTTTCTCACCTCTAAAACTCTAATCAGAATGACACACAGCACTTCAAATAATTTCTGACCAATACCTTAAATGGCACCAATGTAACTACTTCCAATTAGTATTCCATCAAAGTAATCTCAATACTTCGAATAACTTTCATTTTAATGCATACTCCCTCTCTTGGTTCTCTGCTGTGATAATAATATTTCTACATTTAAATTATTTTGTATTCCAACTGCCACCTACTGAATCTATTACGTAAAGGATCCAAAACATCTGGTATTGTTTCTTATCACATGGAGTTGTGCCTATTATACTTTTCCACAGAAGACTCCTTGAAGCTGAAAATGTTTCAGCTGCCCTCAGTTCCCGGTATTATTTTAACAACATAATACTGTATTAACTCTGGCAAGGAACTAAAGGACAATCATTCACAGACAATTATGGAACATTACCAAAATATATCTGAAAATGCCTACAACTGCCTTTTCTACTATGTATCATTTTCTAAATGAGTTCTAACTTAGAGAATAATCTCTCCTTATGAATACTCATGAACTGTCTTTCAGCCTGTTAATACATCTCTGCACATTCACTTAGGGAAACTGTTATTAAATTTGAAATATGCATTCCCATTCAAATCCAGTAGATGGCACTGCAGACACCAGAACTCAGATTCAGTAATGCATAGAGACAGCAAGAACAGCAGATTTTGGAGTCAGAGATAACACAGTGCAGAGCTGGAAAAGCACAGCAGGCCAGGCAGCATCAAAGGAACAGGAAAGTTGACATTTCATACAACATTTGTTTTAATGCTCTTTCTGACTGCCTGGTGCTGTCAATATAATTGAGTCTGAATATTAGAAGACCCCAGGGCAATCCTGGAGTGTTGGCACTTGGCAACCCCAGTTGTTGACATTTCAGGTCATGACCTTTCTTCAGAAATGGGGACGGTGAAGGGAGCTCAGAAATAAATAGAGAGGAGAGGTGGGGCTGGGGAAGGTAGGTGGGATGGTGATAGGGGAGTGTAGGTAGGGAGTGGTGGGGATTGGTCAGTGGGATGGGTGGAGTGGATAGGTGGGATGGATAGGTGGGAGAGAAGATGTACATGTTGTGTCAGGTCAAGGAGGCGGGGATGAGAGGGAGGGTTGGTTATGGGATGACGCCAGGGGTGAGGGTTGTTTAAAACTGGTGAATTCCATTTTTAGGCCATCAGGCCGTAGGCTCCCAAGGAGTAAAATGAGGTTCTACTCCTCCAGTTTATGGGTGGTGTCATTGTAACACTGGAGGAGGCCCAGGCAGAGGGACAGTTAAAATGGTTCGCAACTGGAAGGTTGTTGTCGTTTGTCGCATACAGAGCGCAGATGCTCTACAAAACAGTCTCCCCACCACTCCCTGCCTGCACTCACCTATCATCATCCCACCTACGTTCCCCAGCCCCACCCCTCCTCTCTTTATTTATTTCTGAGCTCCCTTCCCCTCCCCATTTCTCAAGAAGGGTCCCGACGTGAAACGTCAATTTTCCTGCACCTCTGGTACTGCCTGGCCTGCTGTGTTCCTCCAGCTGCACTCTGTGTTATCAGTAATGCACAGTTGCTTCTGTGACTGATATACCAATGTTGCAAATAGTTGCAGAAGGTGGAGACAAAATTGAAGGCGATTATTACAGGCAAGTTTCATCTATAATAAATGCTCACTTGTCTACCATCTTAAATAGTTTTAACTGTTTAAATAAAATGTTTACACTTTCTGACTGCCTCTTCCATTGATTTACTACAGCACAGAATATGCCAGAAACCTGAAACAAAAAATGCTGTACCTCCTCAGGTAGATGGGGAGTTCAAACTTCAATGCTTCTGTGATGCTGGTAAAACTATTACTGATAACACCTGATCACCACACAAGCAGATATCAAAATTACAACAGTCCCAGACAGTAAAACCTGGCAGCGGGTTTTACATTTCAGCACTAACTTAGACAGTAGTAGTTCACTGTTGGCTAGCTCTGAAGATGTTTCACGAGAAACATTAACCTAACTTTCTCTTCAGAAGCTACCCAACCTGCTGCATACTTCAAAAGGTTACAGTTTTTACTTCTGATTTCCAACAATGACTTCTTTATTAATTCTGTAACTTAAATGATGCACCAATACTACCATGATCAATGAGGTTAGGAAAGCATGCAAGATTTACAAAATACTCTGATTAAACACAAAACAATCGGGATTCTCACCTCAAGGAAGTAGCTGCTTACACATAAATAACTATAACTCGCATCACAACAACTCATGGTCCTTTAGTCATTTTTTAACAGAAAAGATTTAAGAATGAGTGATTTAAGACACAAAATCCTTGTTTAAATGAATTAGCTTCTCAAAACAGTGATATGCTGAATTAAGGGTTGGTAGGCAGGTGAATGCAAATACAATGTACAATGGTCAATTGTTTCTGTCTGAGACTCCATTCAACAACCATGTCTCATTGTCCAAAGACACACCTAGCACCTCTGTGTGATTTCAGTCAGAGCTGAGAGAAGCATTTCTAAATACCAGAACCTAAATATCAAGGCGAACACAAGCATAGCAGCCTAAAAAGGGAACAATGTACTGACTAGATTGGTAAGACAGGAAATGGAGATAGTGCTAAGTTTAGTTAGAACATCTTCCAAAGTGGACTAATGATAAGATTTCTTTACTTTTCTGTGTATAAACAAAAGTCACAACCTAGTCTGGCAGCAACCTTTCCACATTGCAGCACTTTTCTCCCATACTCAAACTGAAATGCAACCTTAAAGCAAGAGATCACTGTGCTAAGTACAAATAAGGCTTTTATACTCACAGGAGATCGAATACCATTCCGTCAGGGGTACACACAGGGTACTCAAAGGGTTGAAGAGATAAGCTGAAAGAGATTGCAACAGTCAGACAAGGAAGAATTGGCCAATGCTAAGTCCACATGTCTTTAATATGCAAAATTAAAATAAACAGATATGACAGGACTGACACTGTTGAGGTACATTCAATCCTCTCACTTGACAGTATTAAAATGTACACACACAACCCTCTGGGGACTGCATTCCAGACAATAATTGACAAGCAGCGAGATACAAATAGTAAGTAGGAAAAAGAACATAAGAAAACTATGTTTGGTCAGTGCACATTTGAGAGATTAATTTTACTTTCTGAACAGCACAAGTGCATAAAATGCCCAAAGGTCCACCTTTTAAAATGTTTAATGTCTTGTGTCAAAGATTGGAATTGATTCACAATTTGCAATAATTATTTTGCCAGACTATGTTCTGCAGCCCTATCAGTCAGTCACAAATAGTACTGGACAATTAAACAACTAATCAGAGGGAGAATGCCCAACAAGCATCCCTTTCCTCAAAGATGGGGGAGCCCAGCATGATAAAGACATGCAAAAGGCTCATGCCTTTATGACCATCTTTATCCAACATACTGAGGAGATTGACAAGTTGAAGGGGTGAGTGGATAGGCAGCAGATGAGGTTCAATGCAGAGAAGTGAGAGGTGATGCATTTTGGTCAGAGGAACACTGAAGGACAACATAAAACAAAGGGTACAATTCTAATTGGAGTACAGGAGTAGAAGGATCAGAATGGCATGTGTACAGATCATTGAAGGTGGCAGGACACCTGTTAATTCAATATTTAAACTTAAATACTCAGTCAAGACTTAGAAAAATGCTGCAAAGTTGTTTTCCAAATGAACTAAATGGATCTTTACCAGAAAGAGTGCATTATTGTAAGCAACACTAATGGTGAAACTATTGAAACAAAAGCAAGTGATTCAGAGTTGAAGCACCTGTAATTAGATGGAACTGCAAACGCTCTTTCATTTCTCAAAAGTCTCAAAGAATTCAGGAAAAGGTTTACAAATGAAACAGGCTGGAGATACAGGAACTGACATCAGTCCATAACACAATTACTCTGAATCCATGTCACCAGCAACTCAAACTTGAAAGAGAGAAACAATATATAATCTCCTTACACAGGTTGCAAACAGAATGATATTCAAAATGTGAAAGAGGTTATCATTTTACTGGAGTGATGTGTAAAATTTTGGACAGACAGGGTTGTTGAAGAGTTAAGCTAAGAAAACTGGAATCTGCACATTCATAAGAATATTTTAAAGATACAGATGTTTCTTTAATCTTTTCCTCTTTAATATTTCTAAGGGAATTGCAACATAATAGGACGGTGGAATGGTATGTTGGAAAGAGGGTCGGAAGGAACTTGAGGATGTTGAGCCCTAACAATGAGGATCCTAAAAACAGTACACAGACTTCAAGCAGAGGCCTTACTGTAAGCAATTCAAACCATTCACATTGAATTATCATTCCAAGTCTCTCAGGTTCAATGCAATCTGTAGTTGAATTTCATTGTTATTACTGCGATATACTTTCAGGAGCACAATATGCCAGAGATATTGTACAATACAGCAGCAACAAGAAGGCCTTACCTGCAGTGGTCAAAGGGCAAGCGGCGGAAGTTTGCTTGTGGAATAACTGCAGAAGGCAAGAAATATCAATAATTATTTTCTTAATGGAAACTACCCTACATCTTAATCATATGATCTGACTTCATGTTTTCTAAGAGAGGATTGGAGCAACACACAAGTCAGTCTACCAGGGCCACGATAACAATACAATATTCTATTTTCGTAGCAACTTTAACATAAATAAATGCTCCAAGACATTTCACAGGAATGTCAGACCAGAAGTCTACAAGATATACAAGCAGAATTTGGACATTCAGCCCATCGAGCCTGCTCCACCATTTGGAGTCATAGAGTCTTACAGCACGGAAACAGCCCCATAGGGTCAACTCATACATGCTGACCAGATATCCTAAATTTATCAAGGCCCATTTGCCAGCACTTGGCCAATATCCCTCCAAACCTTTTCTCTTCGTGTACCCATCAGATGCCTTTTAAATGTTGTAATTGTCCCAGCCTCCACCACTTGCTCTGGCAGCTCATTCCATACACGCACCACCCTCTTTGTGAAAATGCTACCCCTTAGGTCCCTTTTAAATCTTTCCTCTGTCACCTTAAACCTATGCCCTCTAATTTTGGGCTTCTCTATCCTGGGAAGAAGACCTTAGCTACTTACCTTCTCCATGTCCCTCATGATTTTATAAACCTCTATAGGTCACCCGTCAGCGTCCAACGCTCCAGGGAAAATATCCTATTCAGCCTCTCCCTAAAATTAAAAACTCCAACCCCGGCAATATCCTTGTAAAACTTTTCTGAAACCTTTCAGGTTTAACACCATCTTTCCTATAGCAGGAAAAACAGATCATGTTTGATATGTTTTTCAGCCCCATACTCCTGACATCTCCCTACAACCCTCGATCCCCTTAATAATAAGAACCCATCTGGCTCTGTCTTTAATACATTCAATGACTTGGCCTCTACACCCTTCTGTGAATTGCACAGATTACTCACCCTGTGGCTGAAGAATTTCCTCCTCATCTCAGTTCTAAAGGGTCATCCCTTCACTCTGAACCCTACACCTCGGGTTCTAGTGTTTCCTACTAGTGGAAACATCTTCTCCACGTCAATTCTGTCCAGGCTTCTCAATATTCTGTCAGTTTCAATCAAATCCCTCCTCATCCTTCTAAGGTCCATCAAGTACAGACCCAGAGTCCTCAACCACTATGACAAGCCCTTCACCCCTGGGATCATTCTTGTAAACCTCCTCTAGGCCCCCTGCAACACCAGTCTTTCCTTAGATATGGGGCCCAAAATAGCACACAATATTCCAAATGCAGTCTCAGCAGAGCTTTTTCCAGCCTCAGTAGTACATCTCTGCTCTTGAATTCCAACCCTCTTGAAATGAATGCCAATAGTGCATTTGCCTTCCCAACCGCCAAACGAACCTGCATGTTAACCTTAGTGGAATCTTGAACTAGTATTTCCAAGTCCCTTTGTGCTTCAGATTTTTGAAGCTTTTCCCCATTTAGAAAATAGTCTATGCCCCATTCTTCCTACCAAAATGCATAACCTCACACTTTCCCACATTGCATTTCATCTGCCACATCTTTGCCAATTCCCCTAGCCTGTCCAAATCCATCTGCAGCCTCTCCACTTCCTCAATGCTACCTGTCCCTCTGCCTATCTTTGTGTCATCTGCAAATTTAGCAACAATGCCCTCAGTTCCTTCATCCAGATCGTTAATATATAATGTGAATAGTTGTGATCCTAACACGGACCCCTGCAGAGCTCCACTAGTCACTGGCTGCCATCCTGAAAAAGACCCATTTATCCCTACTGTCTGCTTTCTGCCAGTCAGCCAATGCTTTATCCATGCCAGTACTTTGCCTCTAACACCATGGGCTGTCTTATTTAGCAGCTTCCTGAGCGACACCCTGTCAAATGTCTTCTAAAAATAGATCACATCCAGTGGCTCTTCTTTGTCTAACCTTTCAAGCAAAGTATGTCTCAAATCACATGAAGGAATATTCGGGTAGATAACCAAAATCTTGGTCAACGGGTATGTTAATATGTCCTATCGGAGGAAAGACAAGCAGAGAGATGGACAGGTTTTCAGAAAGAATTCTAGAGCTTGGGAGCTAGGCAGCTCAAGATACCGCTGTCAATGGTAGAATGATTAAAATTGGAAATGCTCAAAGGAGGTCAAAATTAGATTTCACAGTGGGTTGGGATTTTGAGGAAATTACAGGGATAGGGAGGATCAAGACCATAGATGGATTTGAAAACAAAATGAGAATGTTAAAACTGAGGTTCCATCTAATTTGTTCTTGCTAACCTACAGTAGTTCCCAGAGTGATGGATTAGCAGATTTGGTCTACGTTACGTCAAGGGATGCATAGAATTGGGATACCTTTAGATTTCTGAAGTGTAGAATGCAGCAGTAGTTCCTTGGAAGAGTCAGATCTAGAGATAAAGTTATGAATGAAGGTTTGAGCTGATGACATGAGGCAGCGACAGAGTTTGACTATGCCATGCAGATGCAAATAAGCGGTCTTAATGATGGTGCAAATATGTTGTCAGAAGCTGCTCTGAGAGTCAAATATAACAACAAAGTTATGAACAGTCCATTCAGCTTCAAACAATTGCCAGGAATTGATGGAATTGTAGCTAAGGAATGGAATTTACTATGGACACTGAAAACAATGGCTTTCTAATATTTAGTTGGAGAAAATTTCCATTCATCCAGCACTGAATGTTGGACATGAAGTTAGACAGTTTACGTATAGTCGAGGGGTCGAGAGATGAGGTGGTGAGTAGAGCTGGTATCATCAAAGGGTATGTGGAAACTGACACTGATTGGGGATGACATTCACATTTAGTGAATGACAGCACAAAACATGGCGTTTCAACTGTACTTCACTGAAGCGCTGTTCCACCATATGTCCACCTACAAGAATCTGTAAACTGCTAGTGTCAATAATATTTTACTTGGCCATTCACTGACCATTATTAACTCAGCCCACAAGGAAGAGGCATCTGCAAATGTACCCAATCATACAATTATTAGATCATCTAATAGCAAAGGGTATTTAAAAAGCAGTTTGCATCAACAGAAAATTGGAAATATTGTTTATACTGTGCATTAACAAGATCAACGGAAACCACAATACCCTGGTACTCAAGTACAGTGCAAATCCTACTTACCTGCTTTCTTGCCACCATAGAAATTTGTATATTCTGTACAGGTAATGTACCTGCAAAGGAAAATAAAGTTCAGTGCAACAATATAAACAGTAGAATGAAGTGGCAGGGGTAACGTCACTAGATTACTGATTGAGAGACTTAATCCAATGCTCTGGGCACTTGGGCTTGTAGCCCAGCGCAGCACCTGAGGGAAGTTAAAATCAATTAATAGAATCCAGAATTGTTGCCATGGGTGATTTGGTGGTGGAGAAAGCTGTTTGCTGTGTGTAATTGCACTTATGGATAAACAAAAAAGGGAAAAATCCAAGTGGTCACATGGTGCGGTGGTAGTGTCCCTACCTGGCAGCGAGAAGTGCTTGGCTCCAAGTTCCACTTGCTCCAGAGGTACATCATAACACTTTTGAACATCATTAAAAGTATCTACAATCTGAAATTGAAAGCTAGTCTCAGTAATGTTGACCATTAAACTATCACTAACTGTCATAAAGATCACCTTGTTCACTTGCATCCTTTGGGTAACCTAACCTGGTCTGGCCTACATGTGACTCCAGGCACTCAGCAGCGCACTCATTCCTAACTGCCATATCAAATAGCCTGGCAAGATACTCAGTTCAAGGGCAAAAAATGTTGACCTTGCCAGTGAGACACTCACCCATTGAAGGAAGAGAGCAGCAGATTGGAACTTAGGAATGAGCAAGTCATCTAAAGGAATGCACGTACAAATTGACAGCTTTAAACAACAAGGTTAAAAGTACATCCCTGATAATTGAGGAAATAAAGTTAATTTAAATGCATTCTAGTTAAAACCATACTTTCCAGAAAGGAGAGTAACCGAACTGAATTGAGTCAGGGGGACAGCTGGAACAAGACTTACTCCCAGACAGCACACACATTCTGCCCTTTCCCAACAACATGCCTGACAACCCCATCACCCAGTCACCTCTTCAGGACAGTATCCACAATGTTTACTAGCCAAAGTTCCAGTTCCAAAGCAGAGCTCAGGCAATTTGAATCCCACCGTGATTAATTTTGGAACTGAAAAAAAGCACTGCAGACTTTACTGGTTTTGTACTGCAAAACAATCTTTGATGATGGTTTGTCAGGCACACTCTTCACTCTGCATCACCTGATCATGTTAGAAAATTCTTTTGTGATTTCATTTTGTTGGTAAATACAGAATATCACAGTTTCTATGAAATGTCAATGTAAATTGTACCTTACAAACAAAGAAGCTGATTTCTTTCATTGGTGACTAATGAAACACTAGCTGCTGGCGTAGAAAAGGATCCTCAGAAAATCTGCAGTCAATGGCAATCAGGGGAAAAATTCTCCATTGCTCACAGTTATACCTCGATCAAGGCAACATTGTTGTGGTTGTTGGAAATCAATCATTTTAGTCCAAAAAACCAATGCAGGGAGTGCATATTTAATTTCCTGAACACAATCATGTTCAGTTGCTTCAATGACCTTCCTTCTACCATAATATCAGAAGGTGGAGCGTTCACTAATGATTGCACAAAACTGAGCACGATTCACAAATCCTCAGATATTGAAGCAGTCAATCCATATGAAGCAAATCTGGACAAAATCCAGTCCTGTCACGATAAGCTACAAAAAAAAAAATCACATCTCTCAATTACCAGGCAATTGTCTGCCTCCCCAGAACCTGTGTGTTATTTACAAAATAGAAATCAAGAATGTGATGGAATATGCTCCACTTACTGGATGAGTGTGGCTCCAGCAGCACTCATGAAGCTTAATGCCAGACAAAACAAAGCATCCCATTGACTGGTACCCTCTCTAATGCCATCAACATTCACTCCCTTCAACATTGATGTACAATAGCAGCAGTATGCCATCTACAAGATGCACTATAACAACTCACCAAGGTTCTTTAGACAGCACCTTCTAAATCCCCAACCCTTACCACCTAGGAGAACAAATACTTGGGAACATCAATATTTACAAGTCTCCTTTCAATCCATACACCATTCTGAACTGGAATTATATCACCATTCCTTCACTACTGTTTGGTCAAAATCCTGGAACTCCCTTTATAACAGCACTGTAGGCACACCTAACCTCAATGGACTCCAGCAGTTCAAGAAGGGCAATCAGGGATTGGACATAATTGCTGGCCTGGTCAGTGATGCCAACATCTCATGAACAAATAAAAATAAACTTGTCAAAATGCAAGTTGTGGATCCTTATGCATGGAAATAACAGCAATATCTGAGTTAATTTTAGGTATGCGACTGTCATTTCCAGATACTTGAGATTAATGGTGTTTCCAATCCCTCAAGTGGTGTCATTGCCTTACAATGCATTATATTCTGTTACTCCACATATAAACCCTGTGAACATCTGCAGGATCACTGAAATAATGGACACAGAGGTGAGGTGCTGCAATGTAGGAAGAATTACTACCCTTCAGAAGAAGAGTGGAAAGAAAATGTAAAAATAACACAAATAGGAACTGCTGCACAAGTCTGCAGCATACAATGCCACCTAATTTAGTGCTTCAAGCACTGATTAGCAAGACTAAAGAGGCAGTACAAAAAGACCAAATGATGAATCAAAACCGTAGCTACTGAGGAGTATTTTAAAGAAGAATACAGAGGTAATTCCAGAGCTCAGGGTCTAGCAGACCGAAGAAGAGTCATCAATGGAGAAGCAATTTAATATCAGGGATGCACAAGAGCACAGAATACTGGAGAGGTGGGGAGATTACAGAGATGGGGAGGGGAAGGATCTGAAAAGAAGCGTGAGAATTTTAAAATTAAAGAAGGTCATGTACTCAGGCCGAGTCACAGTGAACTAAATGAGCTGTTTGAGTGTCACAGGAAGGGCAAAGGGAGATGGGGCCGCTCTCCCAACAGCAGGAAGAACTCGAGGCTCACATTTTATCTTTCTGGTGCTGCCTCTTCCCCATGGTGTCCGGATGAGTCGCCGCTACCTCAAACCCCAGCTTCAAACAAAACCTCCCTCAGGCCGCCGGAACTGCGCTCACTTCCTGACAACCGGTTCGCCTGTAACAAAGGACCGGACAAACCCGGCGCGCTGGAAGGAATGTTCCGCCTCGACTTATGTGTGGGAAGTTAACAAGGAGCCAGTGCGAAATGCAGAAAGGAGGTATCCTGCTGCTTGGATCCATTTCATTATCTGCTCAGTCATTTTAAATGACTCGATTTTATGGTCAATATACGGTTTTCCGAAAGTTTACGGAATAACTATGGATTATTTTACCCATTGTGACAGCAACATAGATAGTCTAAATTAACCTGATGAGGTATGTTGTGGTATGCCTTTGGCGGTAAGGTGAGACTTAAACCTAGCTTCTCCGGTTTGGAGATAGGGACACTGCCACTGCGCCATAAGAGCCACCACATCACTACGTGGATTGCAGTGATTCAAGAAAGCAGCTCATCACCATTTGTTCAAGCGACTATTAGGCTTGGACAATAATGCTGGCTCAGCCAGTCGTGCCAACACCATCTGAATTAATGGAATACGTATATGTATACAGAGGTTAACAATGAAAGGTAGAGACTTAGTGGCATGATGTAAAGACAACAATCTCTCCATCAAGGATGGTAGGAACTGCAGGTGCTGGAGAATCTGAGATAACAAGGTGTAGAGTTGGATGAACACACCAGGCCAAGCAGCATCAGAGGAGCAGGAAAGCTGACGTTTTGGACCTAGACCTTCAGAAATTTTCGTCGGCTTTCCTGCTCCTGTGATGCTGCTTGGCCTGCTGTGTTCATCCAGCTCTACACCTTGTTATTTTCAATCTCTCCATCAATGTCAGCAACAAGCAGGAGCTGGTTATCAACTTCAATAAGCAGAGTGAAGGACATGCACCTGTCTGTATCAATGGTGCTGAGCTGGAGACAGTTAAGAGCTTCAACTTCCTATGAGTAAAGATCACCAACAATCTGTCCTAGCCCATCCATGTTGATGCTCTGATTGAAAAAAGCACACCAACACTTCTTACTTCCTCAGAAGGCTAAGGAAATTCGGCATGCAGCGTAGAAAGTATCTTATCCAGATGCATCACGATGTGGTATAGCAACTGCTCTGCCCAAGACTGCAAGAAATTACGGAGAGTTGTGAACACAGCCCAGTCTATCATGCAAACCAGCCTTGCAATCATTGATTCCATCTATACATCCCGCTGCCTCGAGAAAGGAGCCAACATAATCAAAGACCCCTCCCACTCCACTTATTCTCTCTTCCATTCTCTTCCATCGGGCAGAAGATACAAAAGTATGAAAACACATACCAATTAATTCAAGAACAGCTTCTTCCCTGCTGTTATCAGACTTTTGATTGGACTTCTCAAATATTAAAGTTAATCTTTCACTGCACCTTCTCTGTAGCTGTAACACTATATTCTGCATTCTGTTCTATTACCCTGTTGTACTTATATAAGTTATGATTTGCTTGGATAGCACACAAAACAGTACTTCTCACTATATTTCAGTACATGTGACAATAATAAATCAAATTAAATAATAGAATAAACCAATAAATAGACAGTGGAAAACATTTAACAATGCAATTCAAAATAATTGTTCTGTGATTCCAAAATATTTAACAAAAATATATTCTACTGGAAAACAAAGTCTCAGCAAGTAAGACCTATCAGTGGTTTATGTAGAATGTTCGATATAGTACTAAATTTCAAAAGGCATTCATAATGTTGCAGAGAATAATAATAATTAAGACAGGTCTCAGTACAAAGTGTGGCTGTGTTTACAATATAAAATGAATCTGATTTCACATAAGTGGGGTGGTTCATATTTCAACAACAAATTACACTTTTAACACATTTCAAGCTGCTTAAAAAGTGCACAATCACTAAATTGAACATTGAATCACGGAAGGAAAAGAAATTGAGCCACAGAATAGTTGGGTGAAAGCTTGGTCAAAGAACTAGGTTTTAAAGACTATTTTAAAGGAGGTAAAGGAGAGAAAGAAAGGTAGACGTGAACGTTTAAGGAAGGAATTCCAGAGTTTATGGCTGGCAAAGGCAGCTGAAAGCACAGCTGCGGTAGTGTAGCACCATAATTCAAATTGAGGATGCGAAAGATGCCAAAATTGGAGGGGTGCAGAGTTCTCAAAAGGTTGGAGAGCTGGAAGTGGTTACACACGTAGGGAAGGGTAATGCCATGGAGAGATTTTAAAACAAGAATGAGGATTTTAAAATTAAGCTATTGTCAGATCGGGAACCATTGCAAGTCAGCAAGTACTGGGGGTAAAGGGGAGTGAGACTTACTACATGTTAAAATATGGGCAGCAGAGTTTGGATGAACATAGTTTACATGAGGTTGAAAAATGGGAACCGGTCCAAGGGGCCTCCAGAACAGATTAGTGGTAGGAAAGACACAGATGAAGGCAATGTCAGCATGAGGCAAAGTTACTGAGTCAAAAATAGACATTCATGGAGAGAGAGGTGAATCTGGAAGCTAATACTGAGGAGCAAAACACAACAAAGAAGACTGCAAGCTATCAGCTTAGCTTCAAATGGTTGTCAGGGAGAAGCATGTAAATGATAAGCGGGGAAAACAACTTTGTGGCAGTGACAATAACTTCAGTGTACTAATATTTAGGTCAGGACAGATCCTGCACACCAATACTGGATATTAGATGTGCATATTGTCAAAGACAGTGGAGGAGTCAAGCGTGGTAGTAGTGGGATGGAGCTAAGTGTCATCAACAGATCAGTGGAAAATGATCAATTTTCAAATGTTGTTACTGAGGAGCACTGTAGCATGGGAACGAGAGGGCCCAAGGATAGATCCTTGATAGACTCTAGAGGTAGTTGTGTGAGAGTGGAAAGAGAAGCCATTATAAGGGAAACATCATTTGATAGGGCACATCAAAGCTATTCTGTGGAATAATGGCAACTCTAGATCATATCATTTCTTGATCTATATCATGCAAACAAATGAATAGATGTAAGACCATCAGTTTTGCTCCTTAAATATGCACGGTCTATCTCATTTTACCCTGGAAGGCTAAGATATCACAAATGTTTGAGCAACATGTGAAGTTAGCTGTGTTTTATTCCTACAATGCAGTACCAACATGAGTGACGTTCATCACTAACAAGATACTGCTGCTAACCTAAAAAGATGCTCTGTCTATCTCACAAATGAGTAATGTGATGTATGAATTTCAACACTTATGTGATGCTGGGTACACCGCACATCCCAAAGACAGGTAAATCATATCAAATATAAGCCGACAAGCATCTCCCTTACAAAACACGCAACAGTGACCAACATTAGTTGTGATTCTGCAATTGGACAATAATCCTGAGTGTGCAAAGAATTGTACTGACAACAAATTTAAGATTGTGTAGTGCACTTGCATTTATTGGAAGCTACATGCCTTAATATACAGAGCCCAATCCGTTATAGACAGAAAGAATATGTACACACATAGTGCCTGTTTCAAATCAACAAAATGGATGAGAGGCATACACCAGTTTGTTTCTAGGGTAATGTTCTGACCAATCAGAGGCAACCTCCCTGGTTTAAAACTTGAATAAATCTTGGAGGTTTTCTGTCATTCATCATTAACTAGTGCATTCTCCATGACAATGCCCCTAACTGTAACAGTCCACTTGCCAACCAAATAGCACTCTCCTCTAATATGATATAAATGTTGTTTTATTTTTACTTTGGTATTTCTTGCAAACTGTCTTGATCAATGCAAAATCAAAAGTTTCAGTAAAATATGTCTTTTTCAGCTATATTCATGTAACATTTGTTTCAATTGCATGTGTGCAGTTACTATTTCAATGTATGTATGCAAATAACTATTCATATTCTATACATGATAAGCATTAACTGAAACTGCTGGAAAACCCTCAACAGGTCAGAACTGTTCTGAAGAAGCGTCGCTGGATCTGAAACATTAACCCTGCTTTCTCTCCACATATGCTGCCATCCCTGCTAAGTTTCTCAATCAATTTTTACTTTTGTATCTGATTTCCAGCATCCACAGTTCTTTGGGGTTTTTTTCTACAAATGATAAATGGTTTGGCCACTTCACCTTGATTGTGGTCTGCCTTTCAGGAACATAGTGGTCTGCCTTACAGAATAAGAGTTTATCTTGTTCGAGGAAAAGTAGAAGCTGATTCTAATAAAATCTTCCCTATTTAACTCTGAGAGCCCCAGTAACAGGGAATATTCAAAGATTACGTGTTACAGGATGTACAATCTGAAAGCTTACCTTCCAGGCTATTTCTGCAGTCCCCAGTTTGGGTAATCAGATAGAGGAATAGTCACCATGTCAATTGCTAATCAGTGGTATTTACGGGGTCCCCTTTACTGCCCCTTGCTGCATCAACTCACAAGACAAACCTCAGCACCAATTCAACTGCACTATCAATGATCCAGAATGTGGAACAAGTTCCTTTTGTCTCCATCAATTGGCTGGTAATTTCTTCCACCCATTCCACTCATACAGTAGGACGTAATCACTCAGCCATCTACCCTTTGCTAACTTAAAACAATTGCTTGGGGGCCAAAGGAAATTACACCATTCTGGCAAGCATGTTTACCATGTCTACAGAGTGATTCTACTGAATCAATCAAATGTGCCTGTCTCAAATCTGCACTGTCGCTTAAAAGATGCTAAACAGGCATTCAGACTGTGTGATTGACCCGTGAACCGATGCAAGCTTCTGACATTGGCTTGTGATATTGAATAAAGAGTATCAAGTTTTCTGCACTACAGCAGAGAGGAATGGGTGGGGTAAGGACACTTGCAGAGAAACAGTCAGATTGGCAGTAAACCTATGTGGAACCCAGCATGACAGCAACATGATTCAAAGGAGAAGTGAGAGCAGAGAGGTCCCAGAAGCAGATCAAAGTGTAATGTTACAGGAGAGCAGCTAAACTGGTGAGTATTTCTCTCTTGCTTCCTGTGCCTGGATATTGATTTAAGTTACAGTGGTAAGCACAGCTTAAAAACTTTACATCAATAATTAATATTTTAGAACTTCGAAATTAAATTTCTTCATTTGATAGATTGTACGATGTAAATAATGATACAATATTTCCAATCTATCCTTAAGTCGCAGTAAGAGTGAAATAAAAGCAAGGGTCCTTATTCTCTTTTGTTAAAGTACTGTGGGGACCTCAGCCCTGTAATTTCCTGATAAAGTGATAACCTGGTGAGGAAGGTATGTGTAAACTGTAGGGAGAAATCAGTGGACAGGTCAGGTGGACAGAGCAATAACAAACTAAGTTCAATCTGGAAAAGTGTGAGGGCAATGCATCTGGGGAGAGCAATCAAGGTAAGACATTGCACTATGAATGGTAGGATCCTGGAAAGTAATGAGAATCAGAGAGACCTTAATGTGCACAGATACCTGAAGGTAGCAGGGCAGGTAAATAAGTTGGTTAAGAAGGCACATGGGATACTTGCTTTTATTGGCTCAGGCAGAGAATACAGCAACAGGGAGGTTATGTTGGAACTATATAAAGCACTGGTTAGGTTGAGAACCATATGCTGTTCTGGTAACCACATTACAGGAAACATAGAAATTAGGAGCAGGAGTAGGCTATTCAGCCCTTCAAGTCTGCTCCACCATTTTATGTGACCATGGCTGATCATCTGTCTCAATGCCAGACTCCCACTTTCTCCTTCACGCCTGTAAAATTTAAAAATGGATCTAAATCTTTCTTGAATATACTTAGTAATTTGGCCTCGATAGCCAACTGCGGTAGAGAATTCAATAGGATTTCTGTATTTTGAGTGAAAAAATCTTTCCTCACCTCCGTTCTATATGATCTACCCAGTATCCTGAGAATGTGTCTCTTGATTCTACCTCCCCAACATGGGAAAACACCCTCCCTGCATCTTGTCTGTCTAACCTTGGCATTTATTGGAATTTTATACATTTCAATCAGTTCTCCTCTCATCTTTGTCAACTGTAGTGAATACAGGCCCCTTCAAACCAATCTGTTCTCTCAGCACGGCCCTACCATAGGAGCAGTATGGTGACTCAATGGAAAGCACTGCTACCTCCCAGCACCAGGGACTTGGCTTTGTTTTCACACTCAGGTGACTATCTGCGTGGAGTTTCCACATTCTCCCCACGTCTGTGTGCTCTGGTTTCTGACTTTCTGTTTCTTATCTGTAATGCTGAGTCCACTGTTTTTTGCTATTTATATAAATGAACTGGATTGAATAAATGAGGTATGGTTAATGAGTTTCCAGATGACACCAAAATTGGTGTTATAGTGGACAGTGAAGAAAGTTATCTCAGAGTACAACCGGACCTTGATCAGATTGGTTGATGGGCTGAGGAGTGGCAGATGGAGTTTAATTTAGATAAATGTGAGGTGTTACATTTTGGTAAGGTCAGGGCATGACTTATACACTTAACATAAGGTCCTGGGGACTGTTGCTGAACAAAGAGACTTTGGGGTACAACTTCACAGTTCCTTGAAGGTGGAGTCACAGTAGACAGAGTAGTGAAGAAGGTATTTGGTACACTTGCCTTTGTTGGTCAGTGTATTGTGTATAGGAGCTGGGATGTCATGTTACGGCTGTACAGAACTTTGTTTAGGCTATATTTGGAATACTGTGTTCAATTCTGGTCTCCCTGCTATAGGAAAGATGTTGCTAAACTTGGAAGGGTGCACAAAAGATTTACAAGGATGTTGCTGGGCTTGTAGGATTTGAGCTATAGGAAGAGGTTGAATAGGGTGCGGCTATTTTCCCTGGAGCATTGGAGGTTGATGGGTGACCTTATCGAGGTTTATAAAATCATGAGCGATATGTATAGGTGACTACCCAAGGCCTTTTTCCCAGGGTAGGGGAGTACAAAACCAGAGGCACGTAGGTGTAGGGTGAGAGGGGAAAGATATTAAAGGGACCGAAGGGGCAGAGGGTGGTCTATGTATGGAATGAGCTGCCAGAGGTAGTGGTGGAGGGTGGTACAATTAAACATTTAAAAGGCATCTGGATATGTATATGAATAGGAGGTGTTTAGAGGGATATGAGCAAAATGCTAGCAAATGGGACTAGGTTAATTTAGGATATCTGGTCAGCATGGATGCGATGGACCAAAGGGTCTGTTTTCATGCTGTACAGCTCTATGACTCTTTAACCAATTCACCACACATGCCAATATATTACCCACTGTCTCATTTGCTTTAATTTTGCCAACTAATGTCTTATGAGGGAAGCCTTCTGAAAGTTCAAACACACCACATCGATCTTCACTATTCTACTAGTAACAGCCTCAAAATAAAAGCTGCAGTAGATTTGTTAAATGTGATTTGCCTTTCAAAACCCCACACTAGCTTTGTGTAGTTCCATCAATATTTTCGGTCTTTGATCGAGAGGCTAATGGAGCTTTCATGTGTTTCCAACATTTTCTGTTCAAACTGTTTCCTTTGAAAATCCATGCGGTATTAAAACCATTCACACACGAGTCGTTCAGATAAAAGAACTGCCGAACACTTCGGGAAGCTTGATTCAGTGGGAGGGCTTTACTTTTTTTTAAAAGTACATTTGATTGATTAATTTTTAGTGCCAGATGCTGAAGATTAGACAAATGTATAACTTTCACTTTGCTCAGTGACGCTGACTAGCTGCTGTTTCACACTCCTCACCTTTCTCATGACCTTACATCTTTTATAGCAAACTCTAGCATTTCCCCACTCCTGACATTAGGCTTACTGCTGTATAATTATTTTTTTTCTTCCTTTTTCTAATAGTTGGATTATATCTGTCACCCTCCAATCTGTGTTTGCACTAGAGAGGAATGCACAGGAGAGTTTTTACAAGGATGATGCTTGGGCTGAGCTATGAGGAAAGATTGGATAGGCTGAGTTTGTTTTTCTGGAGCAGTGAAGGTTGAGACGGGGATTTCATAAAAGTGTGTACGTATATGAGGGGATAGTTGGCATAGGAAGGAACTTTTTTCATAATGGAGTGTCAAAAGTCAGTGGGCTTATACTTAAGTTAAGAGGTAGAGGCTAAAAGAAAGTTGAGAATGTTATTTTTTTTAACCCAGAAACTCTGGAACTGACTGCCTGAAAGAGTCAGAAACTCTTGTAATGTTTCAGCAGTATTCAGATGTGACTTGTATTGTCATTGCCTACAGGGTATAGACCAAGGGCATGGGATTGGTGCAGCCAGATCTTAGTTAACTGGCACAGACAACAACATAATATAGATAAGGTGAGTGGCAGGTGTCTTTTCCCTAGGGTGAGGGATTTTAAGACTAGAGGGCACATTTTTAAGGTGGGAGGAAAAAGATTTTAAAAAGACATGGGCGGCAATTTTTTTACATGGAGCGGCTGGTGTATGGAATGAACTTCCAGAGGAAGTAGTGGATGCAGGTACAGTTACAATGTTTAAAAGACGTTTAGATAAGTACGTGAATAGGAAATGCTTGGAGGGATATGGGCCAAGCAAATTATGATGGACTGGTTGGAGCAAAAGGTCTGTTTCCATGCTGTATGACTCTATAGTCCCATGGCCCTCTCCTTCTGTGCTTTAAATGTTTGTGAGTCTATGAGGCAATATCCAACCATTATTCACCGCAATTCAGCCGGCGGAGCAATGTTATTCAGATGGGAGCACCTTTGGACATGCAGAGTGACAAAGGTTTCCATTTTTCAGAGGTGAATTTCTGGGGTTTTCAAAAAGTCAAAAAAATGTACATTACACCCCAGCCACGAAGATCTAGCATTATCAAGAGGTAGCAATAGACTATAGAACCAAAGTTAAAACATTTTTGTGAAGAAAATCCTACTAAATCGGCCTATATAGTCCCACGTGGCTATGGGATCACCCCTTGCACCATTCACCAAGATGATATCAGGTAAATCTGAGATGATTGATATATACTCCAGGTCTTCTGCTAGCTCCACACTCTATGATGTCAGATGTCACACAGGTTTATTTGAAATCACAGGCTTTCTAAGCGCTGCTCCTTCGTCGGGTGGCGAAGAGGTTTATGATTTCAACTTTAACCTGTTGTCGTGTGACTTCTGACTTTGTCCACACCAGTCCAACACCGGCATCTCCACATCACACTCTATGATAACACCGATTTTCCGGGCAACAATGGGGGAGTTGTGGCTTCACAAAATGATCGATCGCATGCAGAAAACTACCTGATGTGTGGCTAGTGAGCTGGACAAGTCTGTTGCAAAGTGTTACATTTCTGTGTTTTTTTAAAAATCTAGTCCTGAGTAAGGATCATTTACTTGAGACGCTTACTCCGTTTCGGGCGCTCCTGGGGCTGCTGTGTATTTCCAGCCCGTTCTGCTTCTATCTCAGATTTCAGCCCCCGCAGTATTTTCCTTTTGGAACAAACATTGCATGCCAAGTATAAACTACACCTCACATATGAGCCCCGATCTTTCCTATCAACCCCAGAAATCCTTCACTTTTTTATTCACAGGTCCTGCTGTCAACTGTATGCAAACATGGAGCTACGTTTTCAAACTGAAATTCGCCTTTTTGAAGTACGGTGTTTTTGGATGTACACTATCCACATCACCATCTTATTCCAGCCATTTCAAAATCTATTTTTGATAGTTGGCGTTCTCTCAGTTTTAATCACAATGACCTGAATCTCACTTCCCCTGTTCTCAGTCCAAGTATTAGTCTGTCCTTGATCCAGAGGCTAATGGAGCTTTCGTGTATTTCCAACATTTTTTGTTCAAACTGTTCCCTTTGAAAATCCACGAGGTATTAAAGCCATTCACACACTAGTCATTTCAGATAAAAGAACTGCCGAACGCTTCGGGGAACTTGATTTAGTGTGAGGGCTTTAAGATTTTTTAAAAAAAAACATTTGTTTGATTCATTTTCGCGCCAGATGCTGAAGATTAGACAAATGTATAACTTTCACCCTGTGCTCAGTGACACTGATGAGCTACTCATTCATACCCCTCGCCCTTCTCATGACCTTACACGAGTCCCGCTGCCCCAGGATACTGGCTCAAACCAACTCTCCAGATGGTCTCCCTTCAAACACTGTAGATCATTCTTCATTCAGAGAAACGCTTTTTCGCCATTGTGCCTCTCACAGCAGCGATTGGCTCCTGAGTGTGGGAAACGCAGAGAAACCCGGACTCACGCTCACTTCCCTGTCCTCTTGGAGCTATAAGTACAGGAGATGTTGATCAGAAACGCAGCAAATAGCAGAGACCGCGTCTTAGTTCACTACCAGCTTCACGAATGCGTCGACTTACTTACAAAACCATATCAATTGCAAGACGAGAAAATATCTCAGCTAAAGTAGGGTTACATTGTCCAGAGATTGAAATTGGCGCGAATTGTCTGATAGTAATCTGTCTTTCATTTGCTAAAATGTTTCCTCGCTATTTTTTTCAGCTGTTAGAAGCATCGCTGCAGAGATTGCACTGGCTAAATTCAGAAGTTTAGAGGTCACTGCGTTGAAAAGGAAAGATTACTACCCGAAACGGAATCGGTAACAAGTCTCGGGTAAGGCATCGAATTTCTTACACCCTATAGACTGCAGCTGATGTCAATAATTTTTATTTTGCTTGCCTAATCAACTTTCTGTAACGTACAGTTTTATCTTCGTGTGTCTTAGTTCGTGTTCCCCCACCGATTGGACACCGGAACAGTCGCAGACCTGCTGTCAACTCGTAACACTGAGATGCAAATTAAGAAGAAAATCCCCAGCCGATTGAACCGAGGTTCAGATCTGTATTTCTCGGCTTGTCAGGCCCGGTCAAGCAAAACTTCTCGGCCCAGCACCGCTGAAACACCTGGACAACATTTTATATGACTCAGGAAGTGAGAGTTGCACGGTAGAGATACTGAAGGTTTATTCTCCGGTGTTAGACAGTATTCCACAATGGAAGTACCATTGTTAATATCTTCACATTGAAGCAGTTGGATGCTTTATTAGCGTCTAGTCCTCAATCGAGCGACGTCATAGTCCACGACCCGTTTTCGACAATCTTCCCTCAATAATCTCTCTGGTATTGTAATAGCTGTGGAATTATGCAGCAGAAACCCCCTGTTGAAGTGTGACAGGAAACAGAGAGTACTTTATTCTGATGAACAGTTTGTGTCTTTTGTAGAGGTCTAGATTCATTCACGGAGCATTTTATTCGAATAAATATGAAGTAGAGAGTTTCTGGACCCCTGATGTTTCGCTTCCTCTCAGCGTTATGAAGGTTCATTGTAAAGATTGCAGTTCTACGTGAAGTCGCTGTAATCATACCGCTGTGGTATTGAAAGGTTAATAAGAATGTTGTATTAAGTGCAGAAAAGCGACTTCAGATTGAAAGAGGTAGATAGTTTTTAAGGGCTATTTTTCATCCTCCTGTAACATCTCAATAGGTGACGGTTGTTTGCGGAATTGTTGAACTACTAGAAGGCGAGGTCCCGCGGAACTGATGTGCAGTGCCTGAAGCGAGTCGGAGATGGAAAGTCAACTAACCCTTTTATTAGTCTGGGAAAGTTTTACACAATAACACGTCTGTGTAAATGATAAAGCTCCTTATTATAAAATAGATATAGTAAAACCTAAGACTGCAAAGTATTAGAACGGGGGTTATAAAATTACTTTGTGGAGGTGATTCTTGCCCTGTATCAGGGACGATGTTGTTTCACTGTTTGAAGGCAAACGGTTCTTTTTTGTTTTTTTTTTAAAAAGCTAATAGTAGGTATTTGGAGCTCTTAAAGCTTCCAACCTGCTCAACATTCTGCGAATGACCTGAAAGGTATAAAATTTTATTGAAATCTTGTTAAAGTACACTCAACATGAAAAGGAATAAAGTTAGGCATACTATTTCGGGATGTGGATTGTAGAGCAAGAGAACATAGGTTAAAAACTGAAATAAAGACTGATCAGCTCTTGGATGGGCTTCCGAACAAGGAATTGGAGATGAGGGGGCTCAGTGGGAGAAGAAGTGATAGGGGAATGTGAATTACTTAAATAGTTCTGGATGGACGAGCTCAGAGCAGCTGCTTCGGTTTTCTCGTCGGTATCTATTTTGTGATGGTGGTTAACTGAAAGGACTTAAAGTCATATTTGTTGAGCTAATGATGAACGATCTACATTCAGTGGCATTGGGAAATTGTGATTTACAGCTCGACACTGCATTGTTGCTGTATCCTAGAAAATGCATTTCAGACTACAGCATATGTAAATATGCTGGACATTAATACAAACTTCCAATAAAGTTATTTTAAGCTAATGCTGTATGGCGTGGTTTGTATGAATGATGCGTCGATTTACTGAGTACACTGCACTGTATTCGAGCTCATTCTGTGTACCCTCCCTTGGAAAAATATGTTGTGTATCCCTTTAGAATTCAATGGTATTTTAAAAATTGATTAAAGAAGAATAGCTTTTTTTTTTCTGGTGTAGTTCGGCTCACACGCCCACCTCACGACTAAACGTGCAATTTGAACATTAATAATATCGCGAACTGTTGAAAATCGATGGCAGTATATCATATTTAGCTAAAATAATTAACCGTCGATATTCACGTGGGTTTAATTCTATTCTTTCATCACATCCATATTGTGGCTTCAGCAAAGCATTGGAAACCAAGCCCCTACAGTGTCATTCTGAAATGGAAGGTGCATGTATTACCCTCCTAAAATGTACATAGAGGGGCAAGGCAGGCTTCTGGGACCCTAGCTCCCTCTGTTATTGGCACCATTACGTCCAATGTGTTGCCCTGACTGAATATGGGAATTGCAGTGTCCTAATATAGACAGTAAATGAAAGTAAGCATCCACAATCGACTCCTTTCAGCTTTCCAGAGGGAGAAGAAGCTGTACAATTAAGCCTCAACCCCAAAGGGGTTGGAAATAAAGCATTTTGACATTTCCCAATGAAAGAGTTAATTAGCCCCCATCAAATCTGATCGCATGGCCATCATTTACATTGTCTCCTTTACATTCTGAGAAAAGGACACTCTGTTTCAGGACACTGGGAAGCTCAGAAGAAACTTGAGGTGTTTGACCACAATTCCCTAAAGGTAGCAGGAGAGGATAGTTAAGAAGGCATGAGGGACACTTACCTTTATCAGTGGAGGATAGATTATAAGAGCAGGCGGTTATGTTGGAGCTGTACAGAACTTTGGTTACAGCAGGTAGTGTTTGCAGAGGCGGGTGGGTGGGATGCTGGGGATTTTGTGTATCCCTTCTGCTGTTTGCAGATGGTCTCTATCTAGGTCTGTCAGTGAGGCTCAAGGTGGATGACACTTTCACAGGTGCTTCTTCACCAGTTGGGATGGTCCGAGGCAAGAGATTCCAACGGGTTGGTAGTGATAGTGATTGTTTTCAGCGAGCTTTTGAGGACCTCCCTGAAGTGTTTCATCTGTCCTACTGGTAACGACTTGCTGTGACCAAGCTCAGAATAGAGAGCTTGTTTTGGAGGTCTTGTCTCAAGCCAGGGAATGAACTGGCCCACTCAATGCTGCTGATTATCATTAGACAAATCAGAAGTCACATGACGCCAGGTTATCGTCCAATAGGTTTATTTGAAATCACAAGCTTTCGTAGTGCTGCTCCTTGGCCAGGTGAAGTGACTTCCTTTGACGAAGGAGCAGCGCTCGGAAAGCTTGTGATTTCAAATAAACCTGTTGGACTATACCTGAGATAGTAGGAACTGCAGATGCTGGAGGATCTGAGATAACAAGATGTAGAGCTGGATGAACACAGCCGGCCAAGCAGCATCATAGGAGCAGGAAGGCTAACTTTTCGGGCCTAGACCCTTCATCAGAAAATGATGTTGTGTAACTTCGGACTTTATCCACTCCAGCCCAACACCAGCACCTCCACATCATGCTGTTAACCAATTTCTTGATCGTAGTGTTGGCCTGACAGAGGACACTGATACTGAAGTGTCTATCCTGCAACTGAGTTTGTAGAATATTGCAGAGACATCTCCAGTAATACTTCTCCAGCGGCTTCAGATGTCCAATGTACAGGATCCATGTTTTTGTCTTGTACAAAAGGGCGGGTAGCACTACTGCCCTGTAGACCATGACTTTCATACTAGCCTTGAGATTTCTGAATGAAGTTTAAACTAAAACATCCTAGTTTTGTTTGCACTAAATTCCAAAGCATAAAGGACAAGTTTAAAATAAAACATTCTAGTGACTCTATTCCTCAGTGCACCAAAGGTTGTACTGTACACTGGAAGTTAAACAGCAGAGCAATATTACCTTGAGATGATAAGGGGATTAAGGAGAGAAATTACGAGTCAGTGCGGATCTGATTAGCACAGAGGTGCAGTGTCATTAACTATAGATATGTAACTAACTCAGTCAATAGATAATTCGATTCTTAATCCTTGGATTTTGACTTCCATTTTGTATGATTTATTTTCTTTATTACTGTATTTTTTTTAAAAAATTCTTAATTTTTGTGGTGGATTACATGGTAAAATATCTGTCACTTGCAGGCATCGTGCATTCTGGAATAATTATTTGAAAAAAAAATTGCTTTATGTTAGAAAAAATTAAGCCTTTACCTTAAATGCAACCCCGTTATACACACGAGTCTCTCGGTTAATGTGGTTGCTCTTTAAACGGTTGCAATTTCTTCCCATTGAATGATTATGTTGTAAAGGAGACGGTTATGACAGACCAATTTGTGAAAGAGAAACATGTATAATTCATATAGAAAATGGCCTTGGGCTGAAAAGCCCTCTGTTCAATGTGCGGGCGCTGGCGCAAAATGTGTAGGATGTGCTCCCCCTAGTGTTATCGCACAAATAATTGCAGCGTTGGGATACAGAGAAGGAGTTGCGGGCACAAGTGCTGAGCAGATTTGCAGAGTTTTCTATTGGTGATACGAACAGTGAATTTTTACGATTGTAAATAAAAAGCTATGAATGAGGCATTAACCATACTTAAGGAAAGATACACTGGCATTGAAGGCGGAACAGAGAATGTTCACAAGGCTGATCCCACATATGGAGGGATTGTTTCATGAAAGAGCTTGAGTAGATTGGGCCTGCACTCATAGGAGTTTAGAGGAATCAGAGGCATATTATAGAAACATTCAGATTCTTCAGAGACTTGAGAGGATACGTGCAGAGAGGTTCTCCCTTTCATGAAGAGTCTGGAACCTGAGGGCATAATCTCAGAATAAGAGGTCAGCTATTTAAAACAGAGATGAGGAGGTATATAAGATTTAGGAGATCTCTGGAATTCTTTACCACAGAGGGCTATGGAGGATACTCAAAGTTGAGATGCCCTCAGGTTCCAGACTCTTCACGAAAGGGAGAAGCTCTCTGCATGTATCCTGTCAAGTACCTGAAGAATCTGAATATTTCTATAATATGCCTCTGATTCTTCTAAACTCCAATGAGTACAGGCCCAATCTACTCTACTCCCTTCACTGTTAATCAGCAATGGAATCAAGGGTCATGGGGAAAAGGCGGGAAAAACAAATTGAGGATAATCAGAAATTGCTGGAGAAAGTCAGCAGTCAAAGTTCTGAAGAAGGGTCAATGGAGTCAAATCATTAACTTCAGCAATTTCTGTTTGTGTTTCAGGTTTCCAGCATCCACAGTTCTTTGTTTTATGTTATGGAGGATTATGGTTTCATTGAATGGTGGAGCAAACTCAATGGGCCAAATGATCTACTTTGGCTCCTACAGCTTGTGGTCTCTTAAGGCCTTTTAATGCCTTTCTATTACATTTCTTCTGTCCCATATTTTAGCAACACTCTAACACACACGTACACACACGTACCAACAGGTTCAAGAACAGCTTCTTCCCCGCTGTTATTAGACTTCTGAATGCGTCTCTGAAATTTCAAATCTAATCTGGATCTTGCTTTTTGTGCAGCTTCTTTGCAGCCCTAACTTTGAATTTATCGCTCTGTTCAATCACCCTGTGATCTTTGTATGGCATGATCTGCCTGTACTGCCACAAAACAAAATTTTTCACTGTACTTAGGTATATGTGACAATAATAAATCAAATCAAAATCAAAATGACACACTTGAACGTAATTTTTACCTCCCAGAAATTGCTGGCAGCAAATGTAAAAACGCATGGCTGTATATTCCTTTAACATAGTCAACAGTTATGTGTATCTTCCAATTTGCTCCGAATTGATTCAAGAATAGTAGGACAGCACAATCAGACAGCGTTCTGGAATATGTTCCCAGAGATGGCCCTTCTCCATAATCAATAGCTGCTGATTTTTAAGACAAGGCACGGGAAGACTGTGACCGAAGCTATTCTCCAGTTTAGTAACGGAGTTGCTTCATGGAATCGGGCGATTGTGGCTGAGAATTTCCCACGTGCCATTAACACAAAGTAGGTCAAAGATCAAGCCCTGATCAACAGCAAATAGCCCTGAAGGAGCTGAACTTTAACGGGCAACGGGTTGCTGAGGGCAAGGCCTTAGAGACTAAAGAGAGTGCAATTGAAAAAAAAGTTATGTGTGCAACTTTCCCTCCATTTAATGGACAATGAACATGCCATTGTCTCTTCGTGGGAACTGCTTCAAACCACGTATATTGCAAACTTCATCTGATGGCAAATTTATATGAACACTGTTTCTGTTCCATAGAATCTTAGAGCGTTGAAGACCATTCGGCCTACAGCTCCAGCGCCAGGTCTTTCGAAGAGCTATCTCCTGGTTTTTCTTCGTAGCCCTGCAATTTTGTTCATACTTGCTAACAATTTCGATCGTTAGTAGTGGTATGGATGAGAAGTGTCTGTGAGGCGGTTAGTGATAGACTTCAATAGGATATAGACAGCCTGGGCAGGTATGTGGTGAGTGTAATTTAATTCAGAGAAATGTGAAATGAACTATTTAAGCAGAAAGAAGATAGAAAAATGGCATCCAAAGGAAGTATGGAATTCTAAAAAGAGTGCAGGAGCAGAGGGACCTTAAATAACTGAAGATGTCAGGGTGGGCTGAGAAAGTGATTGATAAAGCATACAGGATAAATGCGTACAAAACCGAGGAGGTTCGGGGAACCTTTACGAAACACTGCTTCCTTCTCAAGGGTCTAGGTCCGAAACGTCAGTTTTCCTGCTCCTCTGATGCTGCTTGGCCTGCTGTGTTCATCCAGCTCTACACCTTGTTATCTCAGATTCTCCAGCATCTGCAGTTCCTACTATCCCGGATAAGAGGATTGCAGGTCCCTAGGGCAAAGGCATGAGCAGCAGTGGCTGGGAAAGTCTGGCAGAGACCGGCACACAATGGGCCGAATGGCTTCCCTCTGCGCTGTAACGTTTCTTGGATTCTGTGAAATATTGATTTTCAGATTTCAACCAAGTCAACACGAATTCACTTACACTAAGTTATATATATAATTCCTTCATTGCCGTCTCTGAGGACAGTTTTGTGAAATGTCTGCTTCACATTACCAGCTGATTCACATCCACACTGAGGCAGTGGGAGAGCTATTGCCCAGAGATTCTGGAATATAATTCATCAGACAAAGCACTGTCCCTCAAATTGAATACAGACCAAGTAAAACAAGTGCAAACCGCAGTCAAAAAAGGTTCCGCTCAAGCTGCTTAGTCACTTTCTATTTGCTCAGACAGTATCCGCCACGCAGTGCATGAAATAGTCGGTGTTTAGGGTTTATAGACCTTTCATCAGAACTGACAAACTTTATAGTCGAGCAGCATTTAGTCGGGAACAAAAACATAAATTGTTGGAAAAGCTCAGCAGATCTGGTAACATCTGTGGAGAGAATTCAGAGTTAAGGTTTCGGTTCCACTGACCCTTTCTCAGAACTGCCAGATGCGCTGAGCTTTTCCAGCACTTTATCATAGAATAGAATAGAATCCCTATGGTGCAGAAACAGGCCATTTGGCCCATCGAGTCCACACCAACTCTCCAAAAATATCCCACGCAGACCCACCTCCTATCCTTTCATTGCTCACCCTAGACACTGCGGGCTAGCATCCACCTCGCCAGCACATCTTTGGACTGTCGGAGGAAACCGGAGCAAACCCACGCAGACAGAGGGAGAATGTGCAAACTCGACACGGACAGTCGCCCGAGGATAGAATCGAACCCGGGTCCCTCGTATTGTGAGGTAGTAGTGCTAACCATTGAGCCACGGTGCCGCCTTTTTCTATTCACATTTTTAATTTCCAGCATCTGCAGTTCTTTCGGTTTTTATTTGGTGGGGAAGATGTGTGCGTGTTTCGGGGATGGGGAGAATAATTAATTAGCTGTAAGCTGCTATGTTGGGGAGCGAGCAATTATTAACCATTTGTATGGTAAAGGATTAGACAGCTTCATGAGAGGAATATGAGTTAAGAGGACGTTCACAAAATGTGAAAAGAGTTTGAAAGGTGCGAGGAGAACAAGAAAAAGTGGGTGGAAAAAGAAATTGCCAGAAAGGAAAGGAATGGTCCTGTGTTTCACGATTATAATGCCCCTCGACTTGTCTCTGTTGGTGAAGGGATAGGAAAGACAGAATTTACCCAGTAATTGTCTAAGTGTGACCTGACCTGGGTGATGCCATGGCTCCGATGTGGTAGGGTCTGTATAGATGCAGGTTCTCCCTCACAATGATGTGACACAACTGGATGAGCAATGAAGATTTTTTTTACTATCTAAAGAACTGCGGATGCCGGAAATCAGAAACAAAAACCGAAATTGTTGGAAAAACTCAGCAGATCTGGCAGCATCTGTGGAGAGAAATCAGAGTTAACGTTTCGGTTTCAGTGGCGCTTCTTCAGAACGGGTCTGCCAGATAGACGCTGCCAGACCTGCTGAGCTTTTCCGACTATTTCTATTTTTGCTTTCTTTTTAAAACAAAACCTGCCGCTGCTTTAATTCGTTCAGAAGCACATAATTGTGTTCCGCAAAGAAATAGACTTTCTTTTCTGAAAAGATCGCTAACTTAAGATAAACATCTTAACACAGATACAAAATCAATTGGTCTGTGTTTTCTGGTGGATTTATTCGACTAGTGAATTATTTTCTTTCTCAATAGAGAGGGGGCGCTCGGTCTAAATCCCAGAGGTGAATGAGTTGGCAAAGTTTCTGAAATATGGTTCTAATACATGGGATTTAGGAGGGGGCTGGGGGGGTGGAGGCGTAAAAACAGGCGGGAGTTCCACACCCCGACGAGCCTTCTTCCTGGAGTGAGTTATTCCTGCAGTTTCCCACGTGCCGCAGACAAAGGAATTCGCTCAGTTGCTGGCTTTCAATGAGCCACGAATGAGCTTATTCATCTGAGCATCACAAGTGCTCCGGGGGGACAATAGCCAGCGTCTCCCGGATCCACGCCCCTCCCCCAAAAGCTAGCTCTTCTCAGGCACGAATGAAAAGAGAAACATCTCAGAGAACGTCTCTTCCTATTTGATTTCAAGCAAGTTGCTTGCCGCCTTTAAATTCACCAAAACAAAACACATTTTAACACTGTTTTATATGTTGCATGTTTTGTGTTTGGATCGCACTCCGATAATTCATGTTAAAATTATTCTAACATACACAAACTGTGCCTTTGCGTTTGCTGTACTAAGCCAGAAGCTAATGTTTGTAAATTACAGCATAATTATTTTGATTTGAATTGATTTATTGCCGGTGTAGGCCTGGGGTGAACAAAGTCAGAAATAGTCATTGTCCAACTGGTTTATTTGAAATCACAAGCTTTCAGAGCGTAGCCCTTTCACCTGACGATGGGGTTGCGCTACGAAAGCTTGTGATTTCAAATATCCCTCCAACCCTTTCCTGTTCATGTAGTTATCTAAATGCCTTTTAAACGTTGTAAATGTACCCACATCTCAGAAAGTTCGTTACACGCGCCAACCACTCTCTGTGTGAAAAAAAATTGCCCCTCATGTCTTTTTTAAAATGTCTCTCCTGTCTCCTTAAAAATGTGCCCCCTCGTCTTCAGAACCCCCATCCTAGGTAAAAGGCACTACCGATCAATACTTCTCATTATTTTATAAACTGAAGTACATCAAGGTAACAGAATAGAATGTAGAATTTTGTGTTACGGCTACACGGAAGGTGCAGAGGAAGATCAACTCTAAGATACGGGAAGCTTTCAGTGAGATTGCATGAAGCGGTGCTAGATAGGGCGGATTGTTTAGCCCCTGTGTAGGGTGCCACGTGTGAGACCCACCCCTTCCCCCAGTTCTCATGACCTTACACGAGCCCCGCTGGCGCGGGATTACTGGCTCACGCCGTATCTCCAGATGGTCCCCTTGAGACTCGGCTCCAAAGAAAAAGTCAAAACGCTGCGGCTAATTCTTCATTCAGGAAAGAGAGGTTTGGGTCATTGTCCCTCCGACAGCAGCGATTGGCTGCCCGAGTGTGGGAAACGCCAAGAAATTCAGACTCACACTCGCCATCTGATGCGGCTGCTATGGGCTCAGAGGCAGAGACTATCCCAGGCCTGCCTTAGGTCCCACTGCACGCACCGGTCTCTCAAAGATGACTCTTAAGAGTGCTGCTGACTCGCGAAGAGGACTCCCAGAAATGGAACCGGAAAGTGCAACAAAAATGCATTTGACATTCAGAGAACGTTTCTTGTTAATTTAAAATAACAGGCTAATTGGGTGAATATGTGCCTGACTGACAGATCAGTACTGCACTGAGAGCGAAGGAACTTTTGATGAAACTTTAAACTGACGAGCTGTCTGCTCTCAGGCGGATATGAACAATTTAATATTTTACAAGAAAACGGGAGAGATGTCTTCATAATAAATGCAAAATGCTCGAAATCTGAAACCCTCGTTCAAAACTGAAAAATCATACGGGACGCGAAAGATTAACTGTTTCTCTCTCCGCAGATGCTATCAGATCTGCTGAGTTTCTCCAACATTCTGTAGGTTTGTTTGAGATCTCCCAGGTGCCAGGGCTAAAAAGAGTTATAAGAGGACTATGCCATTTGCCTGTTCAGCTTATTGAGCCATTTGAATATTGAGGAGATCAAAGCTATTTACTTCAGTCTCTGCCACAAACACCGTTTCGTCGCCATCTTAACCACTGTTCTCCAGGACAAACGGAGGTTGCACCAGATTGTTCAGAATCTTGTTAGCACAAATCTACAATGTCACTGAAATCACATATTTCAATCTCCTTGACATCTCCTGTGTCACATGAGCACTTTTGCTGCTGGTAACCTCATTCTTAACATTGTTACATTCAGCCTTGACAATTCCAATGCATTCCTGAGAGAGCTACCACTTTCTGTCCTCAGTATAGTTGAGAGAAGGAGAAGCAACAACCTAATGGTGTTATCCTTTGACTGTTAATCCAGAGACCCAGGTAATTTTCAGGGGACCTGGGTTTGAATCCCGCCATGGCAGATGGTGACATTTAAATTCAATAAAAATCTAGGATTAAGAGTTTAATGGTGACCATGAATTCATTGCCAATTGTTGGGAAAACCCATCCAGTTCACTAATGCCCTTTTGGGTTGGAATCTGCCATCCTTAACTGGTCTGGACTACATGTGACTCCAGACCCACAGCAATGTGTTTCACTCTTAATTGACCTCTGGGCAGTTAGGGATGGACAATTAATGCTGGTCTAGCTAGTGTCACCCTCATCGTGTGAATGAAGAAAAAGCTCTGCTGCTGCCCATGGACAGGATGAATGGCCAAGGTCTTTTTCCCAGGGGAGGGGAATCCAAAATTAGAGGGCTTAAGTTTAAGGTGAGAGTGGAAAGATATAAAAGGGACCTAATGGGCAACAGAAGTTGGTGAGTGGATGGAATGAGCTGCCAGAGGAAGTGCTAATGACCTTTCAATTACAACATTTATAAAACATGTGGATGGGTACACAAATAGGAAGGGTTTAGAGGCATATGGGCCGAATGCTTACAAATGGGATTAGATTAGTTTAGGATGTCTTGTCATCACGGACAAGTTAGACTGAAGGGTCTGTTTCTGTTCTGTACAATTCTGACTCTATGACTCTAAATGCTATTTATCAATGACCCCAGAGTTTGCTGACACCTGGTCAGACTCCTGATTAAACAACACCTCAATTGTCATCCTTATTTTCAAATTCTACTGTGACTGAATCTCTCCATCCCTAATCTCTCCAGCTGAACAGCTCTTCAAAATATCTGCATTCATAATTCCTGGTCCCCTTGGACATCCCTGATTTTAACCTTTCCATCATTCATGGCTATGCCTTTAGCTGTGAAATCCTTAAGCTCTGGAAACCCCTTTGTAATGTTTTTTACTCACTACATCATTTTCCTACTTTAAATCACTCCTTAAAACTGACTCTACTGTTGTACAGACATGTCAATTTGCTATGCTGTAGGAACTGCTGTTCATGATGAAATTTTTTGTCACAGACCCAAATACAATATTTTTCACAAAGCTTTTAATTATGTTTCATCCATAGAATCCCTACAGTATGGAAACAGGCCATTCAGCCCAAGTCCACACTGACCCTTAGAGCATCCCACCCAGATCCACTGCTATAGCCCACCTAATCTACACATCCCTGAACACTATGGGCAATTTAGCCTGGCCAATCCACCTCGCCTGCACATCTTTGGACTCTGAGAGGAAACCAGAGCACATGGAGGAAACCCACACAGACATGGGGAGAATGTGCAAACTCCACACAGACAGTTGCCTGAGGGTGGAATCAAACCCAGGTTCCTGGCACTGTGAGGCAGCAGTGCTAACCACTGAGCCACTGTGCCACCCCTTTTGGTTATCTCTGTGCTAATATCTCCTTATATGTATCAGCATCATATTTGTTTTATAATTCCTCTGAGAAATGCCATGGGACATTTTGTCATGTTGAACATGCTATATAAATGCAAGTTGTTGTTGCGTTGTCTGTATCTAATACTGTATTGCTGTTAAGAGATGATTGAAAGTGTTTATTTCCATTAGCTGCAGTCTTTTAGTGAAAAATGAGGATCTTATTGGGATTGCCTTTGATGATACCAAACCAGAAGGAATAACAGCAGCAACCATGAACAACGAGCACAACAAAGACATGCATTACCCAGAGCAGAACATTGTACCTGAACATAGGAGCCGTGTATATGCAAGGTCTTCTTCAGCAAGCAGGTGACTTACAGAACAAAGGCCTATCTCCGAGCTGTTGCTGCTAGTGTTAATTTGAGTGATGCTGGATTTTCATGAGTGATGCCTCAGATAAAAGTGAAATATTGTGGGGTGCTGGAAATCTGAAACAAACACGGAAAATACTAGAAAAACTCAGCAGATCTGGCAGCATCTGTGGAATGAGAAACAGGATTAATGTTTTGAGTCCAATATGACTCTTCAGATCAAGTACAAATTTGAAGCTTACAATAAATTCTCCTCAATTAATTGGAAGTTAATAGCAAAGTCACAGAGTCATAGAGTCATTTCTGGCACAGATGAGATAATGTGTCCTATTGAATCTTTGTGGTTCCATGCAGAGAAATGTAGTGACCCACTTTGCCACTTGGTCCCATGGCTAGTAATTTATTTTCTTCAAGTACCCATTCAATTCCCTTTTGAAATTATTGGTTGTTTCGGTATCTATTGTCCTTGTAGGCAGCGACTTCAGAGTTGTTAATACTCACTGTGTCAAAAAGGTCTTTCTCACATTTCCCCTGCAGTTCTTTCCCAGTCTGTTTTCCCTCGTCCTTGAAGAGTTTTTCCCTTATCTACCTTAACTAATCCCGAGAAAATCTGGTACAACTCTATCATATCTCCCCTTCTCTGTTCCAGGAAGAAATTTCCAACCTAATATTGTAACTAAAACCCACTCCATCCCTCGAACTATCCTGGGAAATTTCCTCTGCACCATCTCAAGGACCTTCACCAGTGTGGTGACCAGATTCCAATTGGGATCTAACCAGAGTTTGAGGTTCAACATTACCTCCCTGCTTTCTGTATTTATGCATCTATTTATGAAGTCCAAAATTATAGCATTTACTTAATATTTTAAATACCTTAGCATAAAGATAAATGGGAATAGTATACATACATAAGTTACTTCCACTAGCATGAGTAGAAAATAACTGGAAAATTACAAAGATTGAGGATAATGTCATGCTTCAGGCCTCTGTGGAGCTGCAGCCTAACAACCCACAGGAGGGAAATTGAAGACAACACAACAACCAAACTACTAGAAAGCTGGAGGTTACCTATTTTATGTTCACCTCATTCATGGATACCCTGAATACTGGTGGTATACTAAATTCTAAAGTCTAGCTTTTTAAGTTGTACTTCAATCTGTGAAATTGAAAATGACTTGGTTATATTGAATGAGAAAAATGCTATTCCAATTCTTGAAGCCTGCCTGGCAAACAGAATTCTGTCTACTCCTACACATTTAAATCAAGAATAAGATTTGACCTCAGATTTTTTTGCTGTCTAGTGCTGACTTTGATTCTAGAGATGGACGATAGTTGCTGTAGAATTGTATTGGATGAATCACATAAAGTAGGTTAGAGTTCAATGCACTTGCAATCAATTCAAAACAAATAATTTGCTAAACTTGAATTTTACTGAATAGAAACTAAATAGACCACATAGGATTGTAAAGGACTAGAAAACACCTTTGCATTCCACCAGATACATTTCAAAGATTACCAGTTTCAAAATCTTCCCACCCCGGCCTCATCCCATGACCAACCCTCCCTCTCATCCCCGCCTCCTTGACCTGACACAACCTGTTCATCTTTTCTCTTACCTATTTGCTCCTCCCACCTCACTGACCAATCCCCACCACTGCCTACCTGCACTCACCTATCACCATCCCACCTACCTTTCCCAGCCCCACCCCTCCTCTCTATTTATTTCTGAGCTCCCTTCCCCCTCTCCCATTTTTGAAGAAGGGTCCCGATCCGAAGTGTCAACTTTCCTGCTCCGCTGATGCTGCCTGGCCTGCTGTGCTCCTCCAGCTCCACACTGTGTTATCTCTATACCTTGCTGTAACATTTATGTCCTTAAATCATCCCCTAATGTGGAATGTTTTTCTATTCTCTGTTGAATTAGCTAACATTGTATACCCATATCATTGTTGCCCGTCTTATCTAAGTTAGTTTTTGTTTATATGTATATCAATATGTTTGAAAGTGAACATGCTTGTATTAATAATTTTGACCAAGTCAGACATTTTTTTCAATCACCTGTTTCTGTAACTCAATATATATGTAAACAGGTGATAATATTTATGTTTATATGTGTTTGTGTGTGCAAATGTATTTATATTTGCAAGTGTATGCTTCTCTGTACTTCTGCGTAGCAGTATATTAAACATGATTGTGTAGCTGTGTGATGTATGCGAGAGAAGTTGAGCATTTGCCAAAGAATCAATGTATGCATCTACGTGTGTATATGTATGTTACATTGCATGGGATTGGACATGTGTGCGCTTGGTTCATGTATGATTGGATGCATGAATGTGTTTCTTTGTAGCTTAGAATATATGTATAAATGTCTGCGGATTTAACCAGATTCATGGAGTGTGGACTACATAAATGGTTATCCTACACCAGATGTGGGTGTGCCAATATTAGACCATGCATATATCACAATTTGTTTTTATTTCTCATTTGATTATAACAATCAACTGTAAATTGTTTTCCAAATTCATGAATTTTAAAGAACCATTGAGTAATTTAATTTCTCATGGCTGCATTTGTATCTCTGGCTGAACACTAAATTGAAGTTTGGATCAGTACTTATTTACTTCTTTGCTTCCAAAGCAAAGCACTTCATCTGACATTGGTTCATTTTCTTAAAATTTACATCACTGGTTTTTCTATTCCTGACTCATCATCCTACAACTAGACAACACCTACTGCTAAATCAGGGATGGCCAATACCAGTTCATTTATTAGGATTGTCCTTGGCTTCTCAAAAACTGCTTGGCACTCTGCTGACCATACCACCTTTGCTCGTTTCTTTAACAAATTCATTATAAGTATAGCTATTACTCTAAAATTGCACACAAATTTCTGGTATAATCCACACATTCTTAAAAACCTCATGACTTCTCCTGTAGATTTATAATTGTAAATTCACTTTTGGTGTTCTTGGCTCATGTTTCCTTGTCCCAAGATACATTTGAGGTAATTTCTCTAGCTTTCACAAAATCTTATTTAGCTAAATTTATTACTAAGCCAGCCAACTGTAATAGATTAAACAGGACTTCCTTTTGTCTCACATGTCCTTCGCATGTATTACTGTATACAACAACATTGTCTGCATAAACTACACAGTTATGACCTCAACCACAACTTGATTCATACCCTTTGGAATGTAGTTGGGGCATTTGCAAATCCAAATGGCATCACTCAACATTAGTAGAACACATTTGGTGTGATATAAGTGGATATCTCCTTAGCACTTGATGTTAATGGCACTTGCCTGCACCCTTTCAATGGATCAGTCTTAGACCTTGGCACTACCAACCCTATCAAAATGATCTTCTAACCATGGAATTCTGTATGATTAATTTTTGTGACTACATTTACATTTCATAGTCTATTCATAATCTGGTTGATGTATTTGGGTTAGAACTAATATTGCCAGAGATCTCCAGCTGTTTTACTTCGGTTCAAACAGATTATTTTCCAGAATGCACAGGACTTATACACTTAATGGTAAAGTCCTTGGCTGTGTTGCTGAACAAAGAGCCCTTGGAATGCAGGTTCATAGTTCCTTCAAAGTAGAATCACAAGTAGACAGGATAGTGAAGAAGGTGGTCAGTATGCTTGCCTTTAGTGCATTTAGTATAGCAGTTGGGAGGTCATGTTGCAGTTGGCCATTTTTGGAATACTGCATTCAGTTCTGGTGTCCCTGCTATAGAAAGGATGATGTGAAGCTTGAAAAGGTTCAGAAAAGATTTACAAGGGTGTTGCCATGGTTGGAAGGTTTGAGCTATAGGGAGAGGCTGAATAGGCTGGGGTTGTTTTTCCTGGAGCATTTTCCCTGGAGGGGTGACCTTATAGAGGTTTATAAAATCATGAGGGGTAAGGATAGGGTGAATAGACAAGGTCTTTTCCCCAGGGTAGCAGAGTCCAAAACTAGAGGGCATAGGTTTAAGGTGAGAGAGGAAAGATTTAAGGATCTAAGGGGCATCTTTTTCATGCAGAGGATGGTGAGTATTTGGAATGAACTGCCAGACGAAGTGGTAGACTGGTTCAATTACAACATTTAAAATTCATGTGGATGGGTACATGAATAGGGAGGGTTTAGAGGCATATGAGCCAAATGTTGACAATGTTGTGTCATTATTTAAGAAAGGCTGCAAGGAATAGCTGGGAGACTACAGACCAGTGAGCTTTACGTCAGTGGTGGCTAAGTTGTTGGAGGGGATTCCAAGAGACAGGATCTACATGCATTTGGAAAGCCAAGGACTGATTAAGGATAGTCAGCATGGCTTTGTGTGTAGGAAATCATGTCTCACAAACTTAACTGAGTTTTTTGAAAAGGTGACAAAGAAGATCGATTAAGGTAGAGTAGTAGACATTGCCTACATGAACTTTAGCATGGCCTTCAACAAGGTTCCTCACAGGAAACTTGTTGGTAAGGTTAGATCACATGGAATTTAGGGAAAGCTAGCCAATTGGATACAAAATTGGCTTGATAGGAGGAGACAGAATGTGGTGGTAGAGGGTTGTTTTTTGGATTGGAGGCCTGTGACTAGTGGCATGCCACAATGATCAGTGCTAGGTCCACTGTTGTTCATCATTTATATAAACAATTTGGATGAGATTATATGAGACATGGTTAGTGCATTTGTGGATGACACAAAACTGGTGGCATCATGGAGAGTGAAGAAGGTTATCTTAGAGTACAATGGGATCTTGATCAACTGGGCCAGTGGGCCGAGGAATGGTAGATGGAGTTTAATTTAGATAAATGTGAGGTGTTGCATTTTGGTAAGACAATCCAGGGCAGGATTTGCACAGTTCATGGTAGGCCCTGGGGAGTGCTGTCAAACAGAGAGATCTAGGTTTGCAAAACATATTTCCTTGAAAGAAGTGTCACAAGTAGACAGGGTAGTGAAGAAGGTGTTTGGAATGCTTGCTTTCATCAATCAGTGTATTAAGTACAGGAGTTGAGTCATCAGTTACGTCTGTACAAGACATTGGTAAGGTCACATTTGGACTACTGCATACAATTCTGTTCGCTCTATTATAGGAAGGATGTCATTAAACTGGAAAAGATGCAAAAGAGATTTGCAAGGACGTTACTAAGACTGGAGTGATTGAGTTACAAGGAGGGGCTGGATAGGCTGGGACTTGTTTCCCAGCATGGGATGCTGAGGGGTGAGGTTTATAACATCATGAGGAGCATAGACAAGGTGAATAGCCAGGGTCTTTTCCCTAGTGTAGGGTACTCCA